TTTCCTTTCCTTTCCTTTCCCTTCCATTCCTTTTCTTTCGATTCCTTTTAGTTTGCCTTTCTTTTGCCTTTCTTTACATTTCTTTACATTTCTTTTCCTTTTCTTATTCTTCTCAATTATTTTCCTTTTTTACTATTTCCTATCCTTTTTTCAATATTATTTCTTCTTTTTGTGGAATCTTTTTTTCTTTATATTCTCTTCAGCAGAACAATATTACTAATATCTTTTATCTTCCCACAAGGGATTTTTCTGAAAGTCCGCACGTTGCAGGATCTAAAAAGCAGTTAGAGCTAGCTCAGCGCATTTCCGAGTTATGGAAGAGCTATGGCTTCGACGAAGTCGAAATGCCAGAATATAGCGTTCTTCTGTCACGTCCACAACAAGACAAACCCAACACTGTGTCCCTTATAGAAGATGGAAAAGTTGTGCACAAGATTGTAGGCAAAATCAACGTATGTATTACGAATTTCTTTATTGGATTAGGTTTGCTCTAATTTGCATGTTGTTGAGTTGCTGCTGTCGCTGCTGCTGTTGTTGATGGTAATGGTGGGGAGGTTGTAGTCGTACATGTGAGTTTATTCATTAATTTCTGTTTTGCATTTATGCATTTTAGTTTCATTGTTTTGGTTCGTTTTAGTTCATTTGTCGTTTTTATTTCTTGTTTGTTTGTTGTGTTTAAATTGCTTTATTGCTTAGTTATTGTTGTAGTATAGATGCGTGTTATTGTTGATTCGCTCTTTTTTGGTTTCAGTGTATTTGTTTTGGTATTTGTGGTACTAATTTGTATTTTTGTTTATTGGGGTTTGTGTTGTTGTTTGTTGTTTAGTTTTTGTTTGTTTTTGTTGCTGTTCTTTGTTTTTGTTTCTCGACTCTATTTTCTTCTTTTCTTATAATGCTTTTTTTCCCTTGAATTTTGATGCTAATGGAATATCAAAATAAGCGTCTTTTTTTATTGATGTATATTTCAGGTAACGTCAGATCCAAGTGGAGGCAAAGTCTTTCAATATGTGCCATTTTTGGCATATGCTTCAAATGGAACCGCAGAAGGAGAACTCGTCTACGCAAATCTCGGAACGGAAAGAGATTTCAAACTTCTCCAGGCCAGAAATATTTCCATCAAAGGAAAAATAGTTATATTTAGAAACATCCATGGAAGGGTGAGTTATTGGGAATCAAGGGTGGGGTAGCGCATGCGCAGTCGTATCACAAGTTCGATTGCTGGCCTTACATCCGGCATGCATGTGAGTAGCGTTCGTTAATTGGAGGGTTTTTCCTCCGGTTTCTCCGCTCTTTACCTTGGCGCAAAATCTAAAACGCTAAAATTTAAATTCGATCTGTGAGCTAGCCTGCCTTGACTATGATGTACCCAGCAGACAAAAAGTATCTCAAAAAAAGTCGGAAATATGTAGTTAAGCCTTGTTAGCACTAGCGTCGTAATCATAATCGTTTACTATCGTTTTTGATCACATATGGAAACCCGGCTTTAAAACTCAGTCTGAATCAAAAATCGTAGTCTTAAGCGCCGTCGTAAGGTGCATCCGAACAGCGTCGTAATCGTAAGCTAAGCGGATACGACTACGGCTACGATTACAGTCATTTTGCGATCGAGTGCGTGTGAATCCGATTACGATTACGATTACGATTACATTTTCTTGGTTCACACTCGATCGTAAAGTGACCGTTATTGTAACCGTAGTCGTAAATAAGCAAACTCTTCATCGTCAAACTATAGGAATGTACGTTCAACAGAACAACACGACTGGTTGATTATACCGGTGTAAGACTGCCACGTGTTTTGGTTAAATGTCTGAATATTATAGCACGCAACCGAGATTGAGCAAAGAGAACTCGGAACTGGAGTGTTCTGTATAGATTTACGCTAGATTGTAAGTTCCAAGGATTACGATTTCGAATGCTATTATAATTATCATTATGCCTCTTAAGACGATACTGAAAACAAGTTAAAGTCGTATTATTGGGATGCAAGCAAATGACTTAAAATCCCCTGAGTTTATAAAATAGCAATGACGCAGCCACAAAGTTGAACTAACAAGAGAAGCTAATGATTGGCTGTTCACGTGTGGCGTATTTTAAATGTCTCTTCACCTTCTCAGGTCAACGATGCCGCAAAGCTCGGCGCAAAGGGTGCTTTACTATACCCGGATCCAATCGAACACAGTAGCGAAGGGCAATCAGAGGAGGACACGTACCCTAATACCGTCTGGAGTTCCCCTGAGGCCATCTTCGAGAAACCTCTACGATATATGTACGGCGATCCCCTGACGCCTGATCTGCCGTCCATCCCAGGAATGTACCGAAGACCATTGAATAAGACAGGCTTACCGAGTATTCCATCACAACCTATATCGTACAAAGATGCTATGTATCTTTTAAGCAGATTGAACGGTAATTATACGACCTCTATAGAACTTATATGAATGCCTATATGCTAGTGGGAAAAAATCCCACGAAAAAATTTTTAAATCACAGATTTTGAAACTAAAATGTAATGCTGATTTTTTAGTACAGCTTGCTTGCTCACGGGGTCTTTTCAAATATTAAGTTGTAGGGAGCAGTCCTTAACAACGCTCTGCCGTTCAAAATGTTTGTAAATTTCAAATCCAAGTCCTTTTTTTGTATAGCTAGCACTTTCAAACCGTGAGCTTTCGTGGTTAACTATACTTGCTAGCGCTTTTTGTTAAGAACCCAATTCACAAATGATAGATTTTTAATAAAATATGGTCCAGCACCATTTAATTTTTTTTTWAAACTTTGAAAGTAAAAACTGGAATCGTAAACCTTACAGTGATATGCCTGGAAACCAATTTTAAAAGCTGAATTTTATTTCGTTGTAGGAAGCGAAGTGCCAGAAGAATGGAGAGGTACTCTCAACCTTACCTACCGATTTGGTCCAGGTTTTAAAACAACAAATACAACAGTACGTATCCAAGTCTACAACAAAGTCGAAAGAATGTCTATTTATAACGCTATAGGAACCATACGGGGTCGAGAGGAACCAGATAGAATAGTTTTCATAGGGAACCATCGCGACGGGTTTTTCTTTGGTGCTGTAGATCCTTCTAGTGGTACTGCAACGCTTATGGAAATGTCTCGTGTGTTTGGAAAGCTACTGAAGGCTGGCTGGAGACCAAGGAGGACAATCAAGTTTTGCAGTTGGGCTGCAGAAGAGTTTGGACTTGTAGGATCAGTGGAGTTTGTTCAACAGAATTCAAAGCTTCTAAGTGATAGAGCAGTTGCGTATTTAAACACCGATGTAGCAGTGGGTGGCAAATTTGTTCTCGTTACCCAAACCTGTCCGCTTTTGACCGATTTTATTTTTTCTTGGGCGAAGAAAATTAGAGATCCAAATGCTCATGGCGACAAGACCTCGATGTACGACATCATGGTAGAGAGGTTACCTTCCAAGAAGAACCCCTCAGAGCCTGAAGCCGTAAACTTTGAATACATGAGTGATTATTATCCGTTTTACAAGACCATAGGAGTTTCGTCCGCCGACTTTAGCTACTTTTTTGGTCACAAGAAGAAAATGAGACTCTATCCCGTTTACCACACCCAGGAGGACACTTTCTATTGGGTCAAAAAGTTTGTCGATCCTGAATTTAAGTTCCACGAGGCGATGGCAAAGTTTCAGGGTGGAATGCTGTTAGATTTGGCAGACTCTCCTATCCTCCCCTTTGGTCTAACGAGACTGGCAAACGCCTTAAAAGCTACGATGGAATCAGCGTCCTACAAAAAGTATTTGGAAAACAATCTACGAACAGATCACATCGTTAGAGCTATTTACAAGTTTGGAAATGCTTCTGCTAAGTTTGTTGAAGCCAAAGAGAAGTTAACGGGCAGGGAGGATCCTCTGGTGTTGCGCAGGTTCAATGATCAAATGATGGAGGTCGAACGAGCGTTCATTCGTTTGACGAAGTACCCGTATAAGAATCCTATCAACAATCACGTGTTGAATGGAGACATGTATATAGGCGCTTTCTTCACATTCATATCTGGAAAGGGCAAAAACTTGGGAGACGTCGAAAAGCAGTTATCAATCGTTGCGATGGCTATTTCTTCAGCGGCAGACATCATTACTCCATTACCAAGTTCGTGTCAGGGATTGTACCCTTTCGTCATGGTTCATTTTTCTTGCTTTATGCTTTTGTTCTTTCATGTACAGCTTTGAAAAAAGCATAAAGTTACCTTACTCAAGTTATTTATCGCAGCTTTCATAGACCCCTTGCAATAAATCCCTGCCTGGGGATCGATGAAAGAAAGGAAAAATATTAACATTTGGGGATATAGATTGTTTTTAAATTATACAGCTGTGTTTCTTAATTACAGACTCAGTTACTCCGGCGTAGTCTCTTTTCAGTGTACAGATATTCATAAATACCAACAGTAAAGTAAAGAATGTACAACTTCAACAATACAAACAGTAAAATTCCATGGACTTTAACTGGAACACATGAATATTCAAACTAACTTCATACGAAGTCGTGGCTAACCCTGTGAAACAGATAATTCAAAACTGGAGTGTCATTAGTGCAAGGGGTCTATTCTTTTGTTCTATTCTAATTCACCATTTGCCTTGGTCATAGGAGGGTCATTTATAAGACGCATCGCTTCATCTGAAAGCACTGAAAGCAGTAAATAGGTTTAGCAACCTATAGCTATCTATCTTATACGTGACGTACTATCCCAAGGCGAGTAAAGATATCAAATTTCAGTGGCCTATTGATTCTAAGATGCAGCAGGACTTACTCGATTAGATTAGATTAAATTAGATTAAATTAGATTAAATTAGATTAAATTAGATTTGTTGTAAGGTTTGATTTAGCATCATAGGTATTGTTAGCGTAATAAATGTACTTGTTTTATTTATAAAAGTGTGAAAATAATTCATAATTCCTCTTCGATCAGGAGTCGCGTTTCCCAAAGTTAAACTCATCGAAAATGAGTTGGGGTTAGGTACCAGGGTGAGCTCGGGCTGCGACAGATCACGTCCCCGCTGGAAGGTAACCATGGCAACCGGGCCACAGCTCACCACCGGTACCTGTCACACTGAGATCCAGTGGAGTATATACTCACCTGTAGAGAACCTATTAGCAGGGGAGGGAGGGTGGGAGAAAAACTTTTGATACAAATCAACCAGCACTGCAAACACAGCAAGTAAGCTCCTGAGAATGCCCTGGGTCCCTGCCGCACATTGTTGGTAAGACCGCTGAGCAGCATGCATTGTCTCGATTTTAACTTCGCCTAAATTTCATTTAGCCACATGAAAGGTCACTGACTACTAATCCCATCATGCATCTCTCCCCTTCCACGTAGCTCCCCAGTTGCCTAATTTGCACATTCAAAAGAGAAATAAAGATCAAGATATCGAGAAAATGAAAACGTCATTTTTCCTTATATACGAAGCACTGTCTAATAAAATAAAGATAGGATAGGTAAATTTTTGGCTATATCAGCACTTTTAAGTTGAAAATTGGTTGAATTTACAGTTGACGTTTATGTATGGCATATAAAAGTAAAGAGTACTCACATAAACCCGTAAGAACATATACATCTTACATGCAAAGGGCCTCAAATATAAACTGACTCGTTCAAAGCCTAATTCGTCCTTCGATGGAATTTGGAGACACTATAGGTGATGGTTGTAATGAAGAAAAAAGTCAAGATTCTAGAAGATATACAATAAGAGTGTGCTCAGGTAGTAACTGGTGCAATGAAGGGAACTAGCAAATTGAACCTCTTATTCATAGTCAACTTGAGTATGTAAATTATATCCCAGGAGAATTGTTAATATGTATTCCCACGGACTTTATGCTAATACAAAAGGGAAAGGACGCCATGAATTAATCACTCTCATTAAAGCACCGACGAAGATGTGTACGTTTTTTGGTTTGTGAAGTCTTCAACCCGTCTTGCTCAGGTGATGGCTGACCAAGATATTGAGAATTTGGTTCGTTCAGCCTTGGAAGAATTCGCCAATGGAAACCCGGGTGATGCTGCCGGTGCCCAGCGTTGCCACAGCCTGTTTATTCAAAAAGCTCAAGGAGCTCAAGAGGTAGAAGTTTGTGGTTTATTTGTCTACATCACCAGATCTTGGTTATTCGAGAATTGTAAAGTATGTGTGTTATAGTAAAATTCTGCAATTTCGTAGTGTGTTTATTTGGGGACATTTTTAGTTTTTTTCGGTTACCAACCACGAGGGCTTGGTTGTTAGTGTTGACACATGCCTATTTTCCTTTAATTTGCCTTCAATACTTCTATATTATTATTTGTGGTATACTTCTGTACTCTTTGTGTGTTTAAGAAGTTGTAATAGAAGTATGATGGCAAAGATTGAAGTGGATTGTAATGGTGGGGTGCGGCAGCATATCCACTGGCATTTTCAGCCATCGTGTTTGGGCGAGGGTTTTCATACACAGGGTTCCCAAAATATGATTGTTGGGTTGGCTATATGTGACTGTCCGCTGGAAAATCTGATGATCGAGCGGGAGATGAGTCTTTTCAGTTCTGACCAGGGAGGATCGTTATTTATCGACTGGGGAGGTCTGAATCCAATGTCGGCCAGTGAGGTCTGATTATCGACCAGGGAGGTCGGCACTGAGTATCGACCAGTGAGGTTGGTTTATCGACCAGGGAGGTCTGAAACGAGCATCGACCAGTGAGGTTGGTTTATCGACCAGGGAGGTCTGAAACG